TTTCATTAGTTTCATTAGTTTCATTAGTTCCAATTCCTGTATTTCCTTCATTTCCTGCATTAGTTCGTTCCATCTTGCTTAACTGAACACAGCCCTGGTTTATGCGGGCAATAACTGTTAACTCATGCCGGAACTGGTAAAGTTTAACTATAGGATTTCAATGCTTCTGTTCATACGAAATTGCCGGATGCGTATAAACAGAAGTATTGAAATCCTATAGTTAAACTCTACCAGTTCCGGCATAAGTTAACAGTTATTGCCCGCATAAACCAGGCCTAACTAACATCATCAAAAAACCACTGTTCCGAGCGAGTTACCATTACTTATGAGTTAGGCCTGGTTTATGCGAGCAATAACTGTTAACTTATGCCGGAACCGGTAAAGTTTAACTATATGATTTTAATACTTCTGTTTATACGAAATTGCCGAATGCGTATAAACAGAAGTATTGGAATCCTATAGTTAAACTCTACCGGTTCCGGCATAAGTTAACAGTTATTGCCCGCATAAACCAGACCTTACCACTGTAACCCTTATGCCAACGTCGACAAGTTATCACTCTTAAGTCGCAACCACATAGCATTACAATTAGTTGCAAAAGTAATAACTAACAAACCAAAGGAGATAGAGAAAAACGGTTTGCGCTATAATTTTCAGCACATCAAACTGCAAAATACCAGCTCGGTTTGAACATTCTAGGTTTTGTTTTTATTAATCGAATGTTTAAATAATAAAAACTATTAAACTTTTATTATGTAGTATTTTGCATCTAACTAATACAAAACGAGATCCGAAAACCATGTTGCTCTAACTTGTACCATTCTCGAAATATTCAATTTAACTTTTACTTTTTGTCATAAATCGCAGAGTAGCCGATTGAAGGTACCTGCAAAATTAGTTTCAAGCTATCTCTTCTGGTTCTCGAGATATCCGCGATTTGCGAAAAGAACTATCTATCGTTAAATGTAGAATATTAAAATAAGTCAAATTCGTATATTTGTTATTCACAAGCTTTATTGTAAAACCGCGTTTTCGGGAACTTTCCAATCACCGAATTAACATAGGTTGTAAAATAATAGAAAGAAAAACTTCGTTGTGCGTGATTCGTCGCGCGTGGACTCGCGATGCACTATGCACTACCGTGCTTCTTGATGTTTCTCTCTTTCTCTAACCAGAGAGAAGCCTGAGAGCGGCCACGGCCATAAGAGTTTCTGTCATAGCTTTTCGTGGACATGGTTCTATTCCGTGCTAAGTTTGTGGACATGGTTCTATTCCGTGCTATGAAAACACCGATATGGTGGGGATACGCACACAAGTGAGAACCGTCGTCATACATCAACATAATATGTCTGCACACTTCCACGAGCGCACACGGACAACGGTCTCGCTTGTGTGCGTATCCCCACCACGTCGGTGTTTTCATAGCACGGAATAGAACCATGTCCACAAACTTAGC